ATTTCAGAATGTTGGCAGATACACTTAGCATATCAGACGACATATCCAAATAGCATGTGAGAATGCAGTCATTTTTCCAAACATTTAGATAGGATAATTGAAAATTTTGATATTTGTATGTTTATGGGAATTAAACAAGAATTAATAATTGAATTTTTGTGAATAATTTTATTTGCAAAAAACGGTGTTTGGGTAGAAAGATTAATAAACATGAACAAAACTTTCTATGTTTCTGTTTCCCTGTTGATTGTTTTTAAAGTTATTATAGCACTATATAGGTGAGAGGCGTTCCTCTGCCTGACATTTTCTGTCTGACGTTCTTTGTATGACGTTCTCTGCCTGACATTCCTTTTCTTGACGCTCTTTCACCACGACTACAAATATGAGACATGGTGACAGTCATCATCTACACCAGCAGACTGTTTTCCTCGTGCAATGACTTTGATCCCCAAACACACATGAACAAATACCTTCACACTTTGGCACAAAATATAGAGGTCTTAGGTTAGAAATACCTGTCGAGCAGGGTTCCACAGGGGCCAGTCCTAGGACCGGTGCTGTTTCTGGTATTTGTGAACGACGTGACGGAAGGAATAGACTCCGAAGTGTCCCTGTTTGCAGATGATGTGAAGCTGATGAGAAGAATCCAGTCGGATTAAGATCAGGCAGAACTACAAGGGGATCTGGACAGGCTGCAGGCCTGGTCCAGCAACTGGCTCCTGGAATTCAACCCCACCAAGTGCAAAGTCATGAAGATTGGGGAAGGGCAAAGGAGACCTTCCCCAAAAGGATCTTAGGGTGAGTGTAACACCGGGCACATATCCTGAGGCGCACATCAACCAAATAACTGCTGCAGCATACGGGCACCTAGGAAACCTAAGAATAACATTCCGACGTCTTAATAAGAAATCATTCAGGACCCTGTACATTGTGTACGTTAGTCCCATACTGGAGTATGCAGCACCGGTTTGGAACCCACACCTAGCCAAGCACGTAAGAAAACTAAAGAAAGTGCAAAGGTTTGCAGCAAGACTAGTCCCGGAGTTAAGAGTATGTCCTACGAGGAGAGGTTAAGGGAAATCGACCTGACGACACTGGAGGACAGGAGAGATAGGGAGATATGATAACGACATATAAAATACTGAGAGGAATTGACAAGGTAAACAGAGACAGGATGTTCCAGAGATGGGACTCAGCAACAAGGGGTCGCAGTTGCAAATTGAAGACTCAGATGAATCACAGGGATGTTAGGAGGTACATCTTCAGCCACAGAGTTGTCAGAAAGTGGAATAGTCTGGGAAGCGATGTAGTGGAGGCAGGATCCGTACATAGCTTTAAGAAGAGGTAAGATAAAGCTCATGAAGCAGGAAGAGTGACCTAGTAGCGGTCAGTGAAGAGGCGGGGCCAGGAGCTGTGAATCGACCCCTGCACCCACAACTAGGTGAGTACATGCACACACACACACACACACACCACACACACACACACACACACCACACACACACACGCACACACACACACACAAACACACATGCACCACCATCATACACACAAAGACAAAGTTACTGGTATTCGTCTTCCATTCTGCATACAAATAGTACAACTTTATAGAACACTGCGATGTCAAAGTTGGATCAAAGCCTGACACAGTTGGAGATGAGTTTGGGCCACAACCGTCCGTCATGGCTTGATCCATCCAGGTTAAGATGAACGACTTCCACCAGCACGGAAGGTCCTTGTGGAGACTTTCTTTTTATTTTCTATTTTTTTGTTTGTCCTTGAGCCCTAAGTGGAGAGGCTCTCCAATTAGGGTTTCATAAGCCCTTTACACACACACAATCACACACACATATTTTAATAGGAACTTGTTACGAACCTCGACAAATATAAGTAGATAAACAGAACACACGACACAATGAAACGAAACACAACGCAGAGAGAAGAGAAGGTCGTCATCTAATTCTATGTCAGGCTTTCTTCCTGATAAATGAATTACAATGAAGCAGAGAGACAAACCTCACACAGGGCAGCAGCTGCAGACACACTCACTCCGCCTGCACACTCTAAATTATCAGTTTTTTCTCCGTACAGGTTGCTCTACCTCGCTAAATAAAAGTACGCATTCTGACAGCAACCATATCCTGCCTCCAACCTATGCCACCCGGCCGTCACCTGTGCTACCCGGCCGTCACCATCCGAGGCTCAAACAACTGCCACACTGCATGATTGTTTCCCAGCTCTGACTCACCCATCTTCAGGTCCTGACTTCGACATGGCCAAACTCATGTCTTCTGCAACTCAGTTTTCATTCACTCTTCAACATAGACTAAGCAACATGCTTATTAAATTCCAGTAAATCAATACCAGTGTGTCCCTATGAACACAAAATGACACCAATAAGAGAAAAAGGAAAATAATCACTTGCTAATATTTAATGTTTCTTTGTTTATTCCTTGCTTTCTTCTCTTGACTTCCCTTGTGTATGTATCCATTTATTATCTACTGTTCCACTGCGTGTTATGAGACCCATAAATTGTATTCATAATGGCTTCGAACGAGGAATTGCATCATATAATTAGAGCCATTGATGAGTTACGTATCAGCAATTTCATTTATGATCAATGTAATTAACTATTATCCAGATGAAGCTGCTAATCTGTATTGGTAGCAAACCATTTTTTTTAAATCTTTAATTAAACATCGTGGCTCAGTAATAATCCCATCACATATTTGCTACTGATGTGGCAGCAAAATTATCCCACTTATATTTATAGGAATTTCAAAGATCCTATCGGGTGTTATGAACCAAGAGAAGCAGTGCCATATCAAGCGAATATTTATATATATAACTATTTATTTCATATAATTAGGTATATAAACAAACCCCGAGAACAATGTGAGCAAGATACAAAAGTCTTATTTTTTTTATATTTTATTGAAAAACGCAATACATAGTTATACATGTAGACAATGTAAGCAATGAAAGTACCTTATATTAACAAAGAAACTCAATTCCTACCGTTGCACAACTAAAAGTCTTATTAGGACGTATAAGAAGGGCGTTTCGACCACCAGGGTACTCTAAGAATCAACAGAAAGAAGAAAGTGTGAATTCAAAGTATATACAATGTGTGACGGTAATGTGGTGCATGTAGGGGTGGCGTTCAGTGATGGCTGTGGTGAGGTGATGCATGTAGGGGTGGCGTTCAGTGATGGCTGTGTCAGGTTTGTGAAGGATGAATCTGGCGAGAAATTACGAAATTATTAAACTTGCAGAGTGCGGTATGATGGTACTGGTAGTTGTAATAAGAGCAGATTAAATGCAACGCGGGTGTGCTGGTCAGTTTCTCTCGGTGTACAGTGAAGGTCTTGCATAAATCATCCCTCTCACTCGCGTATTTGTGTTTTGTGATGTGTTTTTCCACCATACTAGTTATCTCTCCAAAATAGTTTGTCGCATCTCACACACGGGTTGATATAGACGCATCGCTTGTTTCTTTGTGCTTCATATTTCACGCTTTTTTTTTTACCAAGTCTTTGAGTATGCTGCATGTGATGTAGGATATGCTTTTTTTTCTCTTGCGAAGAAGATTGTCGATGATGTCTTAAACTTGACTGACTGGTAGTATGAGGTGACTGTCTCTCTCTGACCGTGTGCAAGATTGGCTCAGTTTTTCTCCAACATTAGTTAATGAAGTGCTTTTGGTACTGAAGTTTAGTAAAGGCCTGGTGAAGTATTTATTTTCGATGAAAGCAGTGCTGCAGATCCTATATACTCTCACATAGATTCCTATGATGACTCTTTTAGTTCCGGTGGCATAAGTTTATTTATATATATATATATATATATTTATTATATATATATATATTATATATATATATATATATATATATATATATATATATTTATACTCATACAAGGAGAGATAGCCAGTATCTAATATCTCTCATAATTCTGTCTGCCTGTCTGTCTGTCTTTTATTTTGCAAGGCTAACTATTCTGAAATAGCCACTGTATTTTTTTTAAAGCGCATCACTGGAAATAATCTTGGATATTCGAGCATTTTATTTGCTTTTACCATATTTTATGTGGAAAAAAGTTTAACTTAAATATATCACTTTATGAGCCGCTTACTAAAAATCTCTGATACGACCGAATGTTTAACTTTGTTTTTTGTGTGTAAGTATTTTCAGAGAGTTCACACTTATTTAATACTGCTAATAAAACCTGTGATTTTTTTTAATTACATATTTATTTTCGTTCTTTTTTGAGCATTTTATTTCCATTTGAGGATATTTTACTTTTTTGGTGATTATTATTATTTTTATTAGTAGTAGTAGTGGTGGTGGTAGCAATAGTAGTAGTAGTAGTAGTATCAGTAGTAATATTAGTAGCAGTAGTAGTAATAGTAGTAGTAGCAGTAGTAGTAGCAGAGTAGCAGCAATAGTAGCAATAGTAGTAGTAGCAGTAGTAGCAGTAGTAGTGGTAGTAGTAATAGAAGTAGCAGCAATTGGTAGTAGCAGTAGTAGTAGTAGCAGTAATAATAATAGTGACTCACGAAATCGTAATGACATGAGTGCAAACAAACCATACCACGGGCGGGGATAGAACCCGCGATCAGAGAGTCTCAAAACTCCAGACCGTCGCGTTAGCCACTGGACCAGCTAGCCACAATAAGATTCGTCCAACTAGGTATATTTCTACACCATAGGAAGGTTAGCATAGGCACCACTGTGACCACAAATGCATTTATGCATTTGTATATATGTATATATATATATATATATATATATATATATATATATATATATTATATATATATATATATATATATATTATATATATATATATATACATAAATAAATTTTCATGACTTTAAAAATATTAGTTGTGTTTAGTGTATGTAGTGTTAATATAGTTCTGTTGTTTGCGTGCCCAAGCTGTCCCGCCGCTAGGTAGCCTGGTTTTAATTGGTCAGTCTCGCACACAAGGTTATGAGAGGTTGACGGTTTCTCTAAGTGATGAGTAGATTCCTGACTGGGAAAGACAGTCGCTCTGGTCCTCTTGCTTTGACTGGTTCTCGTTTCTCGCCGTCCTTTCTCCTGTCGGCGTCTCTAACGTCTTCCTCGACTCCTTGAGTGTTTCCTGTCTCCCTCGACGTCCTAGAACTTCAGTCCTGACGCAGTGAAGAGTCTGCCGTTTTGAGAGAGGTCGCGTGGAGCAGCTGGCAGCAGACTTAGTGACGTAATGGTGAGAAATATTCTCTTTCATTGAACAATACGTGATCAGTACTCGTCTGCCTAATACGGCAATCTCTTCATACATTCTGGAGGAAAGATTTTTTTCAGCTTACAGAAGAACAGAGCAAGTTAGGAGAGCGTTGAGGTTTTTCACACTAACACACGCACATGCAGCCCTACTCATTCGTTTTATATAGGTCTCTTTATGAAGCAGGTGGCTTTGTAGTCTATTGTATTTTGTGCTAGATCTTACCCCGATGGTTTAGCGCTTAGTTTTGATAATAACGTGCAATATCTAATGGGGTGATTACATGGTCTATTGTATATCCACAGAGCCCATGTCATGCATAATTTATATTGGTTATGTCCTTTTAAATACAGCTGCGGAAAAAGCTTCCTGGAGAGTCTCTCTTGGGCAGAAATAACATCGGGCAACTCAAATTTAGTAAACAGAGGAGTAAAGACCAGTTTCATAAATGAATTAGCGCAGCTTGTAACAATGATGCAGTGCTGTAAGACCTTGTGGGTTTAGCACTTACTTTTGATTATAATAATTGTAATCATGATGGCGACTGGTTGACAAAATCTATTATTAGGGTCATGTTGGTGTTTGTGAGGGCGGGGGGCGGGGTGTGGGTATTTTACAGAACTATCAAACTGCGTCTTTCGTACTGTGGTGAGAGGTAACCGTGGATCACGAATGCTGGAACTCAGCGCCGTTAAATATTTATAGAAAAAGCAGTTGAATGCCTCCCTCTCCGACCATTCACCCCTACCCCAACCCCCCCTCCTCCTCCTCCTCCTGTAAACGACAAGACTCCTACTCCAGGGGACATTTACGTGCCTATGGTCTACAATATTTATAATTCTACGGTTTGTTAATTCATATTGGACCATTTAACAAAAAAGAGGGGGGGGGGGGGGAGGGTTGTATATTTGTAAATCTTGTATACTTCGTAGTGAAAAGAAAACATAATTGCATTTCATCTCCTTTCTTAACCGTAGACCTGAATGTATACAGAAAAACGTTGAATGATCCATTAGTTTAAAATATGCTGTAAGAAATCTCATTTTATTGAAAGTTATGACAATTATTGCTTTGGAGCTTCAGAGCAACTCGGATCAGTTACCTCCCTAGTATTACAGTATTGGCGCGCACACAAAAAAAATGCAGAGAGGAAGAGTGGCATTCTCTCACCATTAGTAGATCATTTAAGTGACAACAATCAGAGAACCTTACCATCTGTGTATGTGACAAAACTCGAAACGTTACCATCTAGGAGTAAACAAAAAACTGGATGGGGGGCTTGAACAGTAGTCCTGGGACTGGCAGGTCCAACGCTTGACAGCTGCTTATTTCATTTGCAGTCGTTCATTACGACTTAAATTGAGTTCTCAGATTATCTTCGGTTATTTCTGTTTAAGTATCATGATGATGTTTCAACTTTATCACGAGAACCTCGTTAAAACATTAATTAAATCAAACCAGATAATTAGTAAAATTTAGCAAGCAATATCTTTAAAAAATTGTTTTTAATAGAAAGATCCCCAATAGGACCCCAATGGAAATAAGTCACTCTGACTTTTTTGGGTTATCCTAGGTACTTTACACATATGCTGCAATGTATGATAATCTATGTAACTATTTGTGTATACCTGAACAAACTTACTTACTAAAGACGTGGAGAAAGTTTTCTGTATTTTGACAGATAAACTCTCATCTGACACCGTACTGGACCAGTTGCTCCTCTTTCTCAGGAGGGGAAGAACTCGTTGACGCTACACAATAACAATGTCTCCATAAAGTTTCTAATCTCTTTCTATCTCCACACGGGTTATTATAGAGTTGTTACTATATTTACAGGCTCTCTCTCTCTCTCTCTCTCTCTCTCTCTCTCTCTCTCTCTCTCTCTCTCTCTTGGTTTCTTCACGCATCTGGCTTTCAAAAAATCTAAATTCGCCGACGTGTACCCGAGTCAATTTTACCTGTCACCTTAAATTGGCGATCGGTAATCGAGCTCCTGAGCGCTGACAGCTCCGCCAAAGACGCCGCTCCCGCATGGGGTGCTGTGCTGAATTATTTAATGGATTTTAATTACAAAATTCTTTCCGGATTTCCACTCAGTGATTGCATTTGTTTTCGCGGGTTCAGGGAGGGCGTGTGTGTGGGGGGGGCGTGTATGGGGGGGTCAGTGTGTGTGTGGGTTAGTGTGTGTAGGAGGCCTGTGTGTAGGGGGGCGTGTGTTTGTGGCTGAAGGACTGAAACATGATAGATAAATATTAATGATAATTTGTATCATTTTGGAATATAATTTCGACATTTTAATATATTCTGTGATGATTGTACCCTCGTCTCTTCTATCAAAAAAAAAATATGAATTATCAAGCGTAGGTGTGAATTTTTTTTATATAAAAGCATGAAAAAAATATTTTCCAGGCGCATAAAATTATACACAATTGCCATAAAAATATTGAAAGAATGAATCAATTGATACATATTGTATGTGTATATGTATACAATGGATTATCTGCCATTTCCCCAACGTTGTATAACCGCTAAGTGTTTAGCGCTTCCTCGTGATTATGTTCATTGTTACGGTCTTCAAGAATCACTGAACCTAAGACATTGAACTTTTTGTGTGAGAACACTCGCCAACTCCCACATTAAAATATCAGTGTACCTGAACATTCATCAACTTACACTCGCCAACTCCCACATTAATATATCCACACCAATATACCCCAACAATACACACCAGTACTCACAATTGATAGCAATCATAGTGACTCTTTAAAATCCCATTAACAAAACCCACACAATGTTCAATGTGTATATTGTTTTTTCATATTTGTGCAAAAGTCAAATCTACAGTGGTCATGCATTGCCTAGTGAGTGATAGGTAATTAAATTTGATCAGAAGAATGAGATGATAGGTGCAATTTCTTGGTATGGTTCCCTGCACGTAGGGAACCATACCTTCAGATGGTCTTTAAACTTTTACCGAAATCCGACAATCACGCCAAGTGTCTAATGATTGGTGGTTGTTATTTGTCAGCAGAAGTAAGAAATTTACTGGGAGAAAGGACACATGTACAGAGTATTCCTTTATTTGTACAATATTTCACCCAACACTGAACTTTTTCGTGTACTTGAAAAGGCTGTGTTCGGAGATGTTTTATAAAAATAAAGGTCTCCTCTGCATTTGTCTTTTTCACCAACTGTCTGCATAGTGGCAGTGTCTCCAGGAAACTTTCTCTTGACGCTTTCTATCATACGAAAACTTATTCCATGAAGCTTTTGTTCATTGGACCGAGGCGTTCTGCAGACTTACCTCTCAACCTTTTAAGAATAATTTTCCCTTCATACGTAATAATATCAAGGCTTGGTTTAAAAAGGCGCGTGATCAAAAACTAGGATATATTTATTTGAAAACATTTCGGTAATGGGATCTTGATCACTTTGGTAAAAAGCATCAGTTACCAAGGTTTACTCCTTATCCAGGCTTCTCCATGCCATTCACTATCTGATAGTGAAGCCTTGAGGCAGGAGTTCAACCATCACTTGACAGTGTTCTGTATGAGTAATGAACTGATAACCATCTATATTCTTTCCTAGTGAAGATTTGCCTGTTATCTGTGTGGTGTAGTGTGTGTCACGAAGCCGAACATTTATTAGGACTTTTCTTTCGTTATTTGTGTCTGGTAAAATGATGCTCTGAATTTCCTAAACTCAAAATGCGTAAGACTAGTGTTAATGTATACATACTGGGAATATTATATATTGTTAAGTATAACAAGAGTTCCGGTGAACGCTGTGAATATAGCAAAAGCTTAAGCAAACTGCGATTCTAGAAAGCGTTCAGGTGAATCTTCTGATTATATTAAGAGTTCAGGTGAACGTTTCTGAGTTTACTAAAAATTTCGGAAAACGTCGAGGTGCAGCAAACGCTAGGCGCTGAATCTCGTCAATATTTTGGCTGCCAATGTCGCCAACCTGATTTTTTTTTTTTTTTTTTTTTCACACCTTGAGTTGAAAGGAAAATTTAACATACGATGCTTTGAAATTCCGAGTGCGTGAGAGGTAACTGAGGCAAGGTAATATTCATTTCTCTGACCATCACTGCTAGCACCATGTCTGATCCACGCCTTCGATATTTTTGTCTCTTGCTCTTATAATTAGCAATACAAGTTTGACACTGGGTGTGAAGCCACGTAATATCCAGAAAACCTTTAAAGTAGACGACTTATTGATCTGGATTGAGGGTCAAGTCAAGCTGCTTCTAGACTGAAAGTCTTCCTATACGTCGCCAGGCTTTATGTCCATTCTTCGCCAGGCTTTGTCTACTCGTCGCCAGGCTTTGTCTACTCGTCGCCAGGCTTTGTCTACTCGTCGCCAGCCTTTATGTCCACTCGTAGCCCCGGTATTAAAAAATCTACGCACTATATTATTTTTCTTCCGCTCTTCATCACTTGTTAATAAAGTGTGTATAAATCATAGTAGATAATAAATATTAATATTTGTTACCAACACATCGTGCAGTGTCTTGAAGATGCGGTTGAGATCATGAATCCGCTTGGACTTCGATTCACTGTTATCGTGTTTAAGTTGTCAGTTCAAAAATGCAGAAAACTGAAAAAAAAGTACGTTAAAAATAATTATAATTTTATGTAAAATATTAATGATGACTTTCGCTGGATTCTATTTATTCATATACTTTTTAACTTAGTGTGAAATACACTAAAAACTGCAACACCTGCTTGAAGTAATTATTAAGTCCTACACGGGGGGGGGGGGGAAGACACCAAATTTAGCTAGAAAATACATTTGTCACATCTAATGAATTCTTAAAACTAGAATTTACATATCAAAAGAGTTTTCCGTTTAACGATTTCTCGCTGTTAAAATAATTTCGTCCATTACAGCTTTTTTATTTGCAAGCGAACGTTGTCGTTATTCAACGACAATTAAAGAATTAGAGGTTATCCAAGAGTATTGAATCCTTGGCTTCA